TTCTAATATATCTTGTAGAATTTAATAATGACTCTAATTGAACCTAAGACTCTACCAACCTCCATCTTCTTGAGTGTGGCCTCATATTCATGCATATTGATAAGGGCATTGAGAGTCTCTTTAGTAGAAGCAAAGAAGTAATCAAAGAGGCCAAATCATAATTAAGGGATGACATCTCTTAAGGTATTGTAGTAAGTCTCAAGTTTATACATACAAAATAGAACTTATTATAGATTTGTTCAATATTCCTTTGATATGTAAATAGAGAGTCATATTCATTTAATAATTGTATAATTTGAGAGACTTCGATGTATTCTTGGGTAGCTTTGAAATTTTTTCTTGAACATGAATTTTCTACTTTAAGCCACTTCATCTAGCTTTGGATTCACTATCCTTCAACTTGTCATTGCTCATGGATTTGTAGCTAATCTATAATCACATTTGATTTAAATTTTAGGATTAAATCTATTGAATCCACATAAAGGGATGTAATTGCAAATGATAGCTTGGCACAAAGGGTGGTCTTGGCTTGCTAATATTCCTTTGCTTTACAAATACAAAATTCCTTGTAATATTTTATCATGCGATAGAACTTACTTACAAAGCCCAATTACAGATAACACTGCCATATTTAAGTTATGTTTTGTAAGACTTCATTTACTGTGAAGAACTTGCTACTTATGTTATATAGGAATCTTTTTTGATTCTCTTTTTGTACCAAAAGTTTCCTCTACACAAGAAGGTGGTTAAAATAATTAATATTACTTCTAATTTTATATTCATTCATTCAATGCATCCTTGCACCTATAAGTTGAAAGAAATTAAAATAGTCTAATCTAGCAAGGACTTATGCCTTATCATATTTTTTGATATTTGATGTAAATTAAATAAGAATTATAGCCGAGAAGTAATTAATTACATTCAATAAATTGTTGAGTTGGCCAAATAGCAACTTCTTTATGTTTGTCATAATTTTTTTATATATTGAAGATTTGTTGGATCTTCTCTTGACGACGTTCTAATCACTACAAAGGACCTATTGATAATCCTTAGAAAAGATGGAAAGAAATTTGGACCATAGTTCCAACTTGTCTTCTATCTTGAAGGATGTATAAATAAGAAGAATTAACAAGCATTGACAATGGATAAATTTTGATATTTTATGGAGATATTATTATTAAAAGTCTGTTAACTTAAAGGCTTGGACAATGAAGAAGCCGCCATTTGAAGATGTTAGATCTCTTTTTCAAAGCTACTCTATGATTTGGAAATAAAATTATTTAGGAATGAGGGTTCACAATGGAATTATTACAAAAGACCTAAGAATAGAAGATGCCAATAGTAAGTCCTTTCATTGGATTGAAATTAACAATTGGAGAGAGAATATCAAGGAGACTTTGCCTATATTACCAATTGCTATTATTTAAGATGGAAGGTGAGTCCATTGAAATTAATTGATAGTTTAGTTGATGCAATAGTATTATTAGATAGGTAGTTTTGGAAGTCACATGTACTCTCATTGATACATACGACTAGTTTTAGCTAATAATGTGAGAAGAATGGACTATCTAATTGGAACCTTTGCAAGGCAATATTAAGATAGTAAAACCTTTAATTAGAGATGGTCTTGGAGTTATTTGGTGTGTTGACTCCTAAAACTAAAGAAGATGGGAGAAGAAGAAGGGGAGGATAAGACATGAGATAGGAGCTTGAAGGAACTCTAGAATGATTAGTAGGTCAGATTAGGCTTCTATCTTGGAATTCACATACCTTTTTGATGTCTAATCTATGTTTTTTTTTATTATACTTGCAAAGATTAGGACCAAAGTCAATTAGAGTCCTAAAATTAAAGAATTATTGATAGATTATACATCTTTAGGATAGAAAAAAAGTCAAGGTTAAGAAACTTTCTTTGTTCTAATGTCGATGGATTTGTCGGATGGTTGATGCTATTAAGGGTTGATAATTTTTTCTTTATTTGAGCAACTTTTTTTCTTCTTTGGTTGGCATCTATTCTTTTACGTTACCATTGTACTTCAATCTAGAAAAGATCCTTCACTTCCTTTCTTCAATGAACATGCTTTGATCCATTCCATTTCCATTCTAGTATATCTCACAAGGAATTAGAAAAACAATCTTCTTCTTTAAAATGTAGATTGTAAGATTAGACATCTTTATCTTGAGAAGCACTAGTTATCATTTCTATTTTTGATTCACTAGAATTACTGACTAAAATGGTGAGGTCTTTGCCTTTTCTATGCATGGAGAAGGAAGTAGGCGATTAAAATAGGAAAAAACTTAGTGCCATTAGAACTATTATGTAGCATTTTAGCAGATGTTTTATCACTAGAAAAAAAAACTTTTCTTTTTCTATCTAATAACATTTAATAATCCTTTTGTTATGAGCATATATATTTATTCTAATAATTACCTATATAATTAAGTAGAAGTAAAAAAAAATAGATTAATTAGATAATATCTTGTAAAAAAGCTTCTTAAAAAGCTTCATAAACTTAGCTTTGACTTTACACATGTTTATAGTTGATTCATAGATTATAAATTTAGTCAATAAGTTAGCCATGTGTTGCTCATGTTGATAGCTTGTAGAACAAACTAATTATGTGATGCAAATATAGAAAACTTGTCTTATAAATTAAAATATGTGATTCTTAATTTGAACATATGTTAGAGGCCCTAAAAAATCTTGCTACATAACTTCTAATTAGATAATATATATTGAGGCAAGAGTAAAGCCTTCCTCATTCTTGTCAACGCCTTTCTAGTCCTTAGTCTTGTTTCATAACTTTCAAATCTCCTTGCTTTTGGCAATAGCCATTCTAGTTTAATATTATACCATCTTTGAATAATTATCTAGTCTTTTCAAGTGACAAAAGAGTGTCTAAATATTTTAGTTCTTCAATATCTATGTCCTTGATAGATTCATACGATATTCTATAGAAAAACAAAATCAATGTTGGATAGAAAGATTACAATAGTCGATGAGAATCATGATTTTTTTCCATGTCCTAACATTTATAACTACAAGTGAGGTTTTTCAGCATGAGTTGAAGGAAAGCCTAACACAAAACCTTTGATCTGACAAAGTTGAGTTGCACTTATTGCTACTAAGCAACTTACCTGAGCCACTAGCCATTTGGGCAACAATCTCCAAAAATTTATTTGGAATGTTTTTAAGGGTGACCTATGTGAACTCTTTCAAACCTACTAAGTGTGAAACATTGAACCCTGGCATCCAAGTTTGAAGTTTATGTAGTTCAATGAGACTTGTGAGAAGTAAGCATGAAGACTTTCTTAGTGGTCATGGATTGAGTATTGATGATTTGGAAGAAGCCAAGCCTTGGCTAATGGCCAACTCCAACCCAATTGTTAGCTTGTTTTTGTAAGGACTCAATTCAATTAGCAATGACTATCGGAGGTTACTTACCTCCGACTAAGTATGCCACAATCGTGTGCTTTTTGGAGGTAGTCAAAATCTTTTCTTGATGATGGCCGGATCGACGTCGACCTCGAGCACTTTGTTACATGGGAAGGAACCAGTACAACTCCTCGAAAAGCCTTTGGGTAAAACTTCCCCTAAAACTGCTGGATTGAAGTGGAGTGCATCATGTTTCTCCATGTTGATGACGACGGCGACAAGCTCTGGTTCAATCACTTCCTCACGCAGAGTTCGCGTGCGACCTCTGTCTTTGGCGGACTGTGTGGGAGCCACCGAGGCGTGGGCCATCCTTGCCTGCAGTGTCAGCATAGGACGCCTTCCCTTCCATGATTCTATATACCTAGATCTAGCTAACCCTAATCTCAAGAAAACAGTCCCACTAAACTCTGGATATTGGAATCACGGAAACTGAGGTTCGCGAGGTAAATCCCCAGGCGAAAAACTAGGACGCAGAGCAAATTGGACCACAAATGTAAACCGCAGTGGATCTTTGATCAGCGCAAGGTGAGCTCCTCTGGCGCCTCATTGCGGTTCCTCCTCCGTGCTCCTTGATGGTCGAGTTGTGCCCATTTGGAAACAAAAGACAAAGCTATTGTTTCAGCTCCTGAAATGAAAAAATCCACGCTGTTTAGTTTTGTCGTTCCATTCTTATTCTGGGGAAGGATGGCGATGAGCTAAGTCTCGATCGGTGGCTCTGTTAATGTGGGAGCTGCAGAAAAGGGGGTATGTGGTAGTTGCATCTCTCTCGCATTTGTGTGGTGGGATCCAGACGGGGTTTGGTTCATGTCAGGCACTGGCGGAGGTGGTCCCGCTACCGGTTCCAATGATGTGGCCAGCGCGAAGTGAGCTGCCCCTCTCACGTCCCTGCATAGATGTTCTGTTGAAGACATAGCGATTGCGTGGCTGGATGATCCATCGGCATGAAGATGTTCGGATCTTAATTGTATTTGTGTAATGGAGTGGCAGTTTGTTGATTGGATCTCGTTATGTTTGTTTCTGACTGGGTGTCCCCCTCCCCCCCCCCCCCCCCTCTATCTCTCTCTCGTGAGGGACATGGGTCTAGGTATGAGTCAGTGGTTTGCATACTACACTTCATTGAAGTGTGATCGAATGTGAGTTTTCTTCGAGTTCGAACTCAACATCTTCAAAGCACAAAATTTCCGAGCATTTTCCTACAAAAATCCTCAAAGACAAGAAGCAGCTGGTAATTTAGATCGACATCGAAAGCAAGCTTCTTCTTAAAAATAAGAAACTACTGTAAATACAAAACCCAAAATAGAAAATAGAAAAATAAATGAACAAAAATAAGAATCCATAAATGGTATAGCCTTGCAAGACCATTCTCAGATTAAGTGAATAATTCACAATCTGAAGAAAAGAGCACGAACATCCAAATCACATATGCCAAAGGACTCATAAAGGCACCTTTTTTTTAGTGCTTTCCACAATCTAAACTTTCCAACTTTGTATCATTGAAAGGTGCAACTTTCAAAGTGCTTCGATGTTAAGTGGGCGAATGTCGAATTCAGATTTCTAATAGCAATACTCAACAAACTCGTAGCTGTATCCCCCAATGAATCCTATGTTCATGACTCTGCTGCCAGCTTCCGATTCTGACACCCCCTAGTCAGCGAGAGAATGGGAGTACTTGGGAAGGAAACGGTCCGGCGAGGATCGCTGTACCAATTCGGCTCGGAAGCGGTGTCGCAAACCGTTCTCGAAACCCCGGATTGAAGTTGCCCAACCTAGCGCGAATCTGGTATACAGTCAACTATTGGAGTCCAAATTGGGTGCTGAAATTTCGGAACGGAGGATCACAGCAAGAGATCCCTTTAGTCCCACTGGGTGTCAGTGAGGATCCGAAGCAGGGAGAGTGTCATCGCTTGGTTGACATGGTTCGTTCCGTGGAGCGATAATGTCTGCGAGGAGGACACCTTACTCCGAAAGAGAAAAATCGTCCTGCAGCTAAAGTAATGATAAATCGTGTGGCCCACCGCGTCCAGCTAGCGAAGCGCCTAGTGTGGAGTCGGGCAGTTTTCTAGTGGAACCGGCTTCTGTTGGCGTTTATATAAAGAGTGGAGCATTTAATGCGGTTTTTGTGCAACGGTGTGCAGCGATCACTCAATCTGCATGTTTCCAATATAGCTACCTAGGTGTGATGGGGTGCAGCGATAAGTAGCAAGGCAGATTGCTACCATCATACAGTCTGCGACACAAGGGAGCTACAGTGGTTGAATGCAAGGATAGAGTGGGGTTGCACACTTTTGGAGTGCGAGCTGGTCCAGTTGAATCAATCACCGGAGGTTGACCTGCTGTTGATCGATTTGGGTCACCGTGGATTTCACGGCGAAGCCAGAATTGTCGAGCGGCAATACGCGTCTTCCGTAGCTTTTGTGTCGGTCAAGCGACTAGGACCAGATTGATTAGGTCTGTAAAGAGTATTAGTGTTGAGAACGTTTGTGGATTGCGTGTGCTGTTGCTGAGCGCACTTGACATTTCTTGAATTTGTAGTGTCGAAGGTGAAATTGTAGCCGCTTGAATTCCGAAGGCTTGTGAGCTAGCACGAAGCACAACGTTGAATCTGTTTGTGAAGTTTGTAGTTGCGATGGCGAGGATAAGGTTTCAGCAAACTTTGATAGTTCTGCTCAGTCTGGCGGCATTTTTCCGGGTAGGAGACGCGGGATGTCCTATCGCTAGCCTAGGAAGGCGGTCATTGAAGCAGGCACCTGTGCCAGCGCAACCGGCATTGATATTCGGTTTCTACGACTTAACCTGTCCGACGCTGAATTCTATCATCGACACGAGAATGCGTTTCTGGGTGCTTCAGGATATTCGGACCCCGGGGAAGGTGCTGAGGCTCTTCTTCCACGACTGTTTTGCGGCTGGGTGCGAGGCTTCAATATTGCTGAATTCCACTGCAGAATTTGCAGCGGAGAAGGACGCACCGATTTCCGTGACTTTAGACAAGTTCCAAGTCATCGAGGATATCAAGAGCGAGGTGGAAACGGCGTGCCCTGGAATCGTGTCCTGTGCCGACATTCTGGCACTGGCAGCTGCCAAAGCTGTCGAACTGGTATTGGCCATAGCCACTGAGCGTGTAAGGGGTTTCTTGTAACACGTTCGTTTCCGAAGCACGTCATTGGAAGAGTAGAATTGTACAAAATATAGCCTGATTGTCGATCTTGAATGGTTTGCAGGCGGGTGGACCGATATTGGTGACGGAAACGGGGCGACGAGATGGCGTGGTTTCGTATCTAGCGGGTGCGACGGCTAGCATGCCTCTATCCACCCAAAAAATTCCTGATCTGGAGGCAATGTTCGTGCAGGCGGGGCTGGATATAAATGATCTTGTGATTCTCTCAGGTGGGTCCTGTGCTCCATCCGGTTATCTGGAGTCGAGATTGAATCGATTAATGTGCGAGGGCTGAAGCAGTGGTGATTTCTGACATGAAAGTGATGGTGGTGGTGGTTCAGGTGCTCACACTATTGGGGAGGTTCACTGCAGCAACTTCGCTGACCGTTTCGATCCGGCAGCGAACAGCCCCTTCGGCGACGTATCTTTTGGCCAGGAGCTTCTGGCTTTCTGCACCCGGAACGGCGCGGGCGATATCGCTACGTTGAATCTCAAAACATTCATGGACTTGCAGACGCCCAACAGCTTCGACATCTCGTACTATGTGAACCTGATCATCGGACGCGGTGTGATGACGTCGGATCAAGTTCTGTTCAACGACCTGCGTACGCAGCCTATGGTGAGGGAGTTCGCGGCCAACCGGACGCTGTTCTTCGAGAGCTTCCAGGCGTCCATGCTCAAGATGGGGCGGCTCCATGTGCTCACCGGGACGAACGGCGTGATCCGGAAGCAATGCGGGGTAAGTGTGCAGTTAGAGATAAGCATTTTGAGAAGCTTGCGTACATGAGACGTGATCCTCGACGAGGGTTTTAGTGAGTGGGGGTTGTAACTTTTGAAATTGAAGTGTTAAAAGGTACACAACCTTGAAGGCTCGCCCTCTCAAAGCAAGAAAAGAGTTCAAGAAAGGACTTTTTCGGCGCCTTCTTGATATGAGATCGACAGTACCAAAGCATGGTTGATATTGTAGGTGTAAGAAGAAAGTAGGGTAGTGGTTTTACGTGACACCTGTAGTTGTTATGACGAGGTTGAAGCTTCCACTAAAGCGTTGGTTCGTGGGGTGTTGGTTTCACAGGTGTACCCTTGAGTGGTCGGTGGGCCATTTAGTGTACAAAATGCACGAAGAGATGTGTGTAGAGGTTTTGGCTGGAATGAATGTGCGATGCACAAGGTTAGCAGCGAGCATTCCGGATTGTGGAGTGCGACAATTTTGTTCTACGATGTCCATTTGAATGGGGGTGATTAGAAGTCACCCCTGTAACTGGTTGCTGCAAGTGTAAAGGATAGGCCGATTAGCGTTTACGTACATTTTCATAAATTGAGGAAATTCTTTTTACGAGCAAGGTTATTAGATCGATCAACACTGTAGGAGTTGGTTCGTGAGTAGAGGTATTCGACTTAGTGGTAAGGTTACCGAATAAGGAAGATTTGGCGCCTCTATCTTTCATGGCTTATTAGTGTGACTTATGAGTTGAAGGTAAGCAGCATATAAGGTCGATGCTGGCGAAGCCGCCGGGACCATATTGTGAACTTATTGCATCATTCTTGCGAATGGCTGAAATGATGAATTGATGGATTTTGTGACAATGCCAGTGTTTTTGGTGGAATTGAATTGTATCCAGTTTCTTGATGATTCCTGCTTCAATCTGTTTCGGCCATTACTCTCAACACTAGACGTTTATGAACATCAGCACTAGCCAGTTGTGGACGTTTACGTATGGTCCTCATAAGATACGAGTATCTGGAAAGCAGCTGATTGGAGTGTAGCAAACCTTTCTGTTGGGAGGACGTGAACTTCTACACCTGGATTCTCAAGGCTAAGGGTGACAGCCACCCAATTCTGCCTAATTACTCCCCTTATGAGAATTTGCAGTGCAGAATCTCTTGAAGTTGACAGTCATTTAAGGTCCATCCGCTATTACTTGAGAAAAGGGGTTTCATCTAAGGTTTGGGTCGCAAGCTGTCGCACAGCCTCAATGTGGAAGGGCTTGTTGCGTGACAAGCTTAGCATCGTTATTCCAGCTGTTGCAGATTAGACTGCTATTGTGTCAAGTTTATCAAATTAAATCTCACCGAAGCAGTCAAAGCGTCTGCTAAATTCGGGAACTGAAAAATGGAAGCTTTTGCCGAATCTCAAGAAAGATAAATTGTTCAAGCTTCACATCTGGTGGATGTGGAAAATAGCTTTCATTCTCACAGTCGATTATAAAAGTGATATCCTTGGGAAACATTATTCGTTGGAATGTTCGCAGATTGTGCCTGCTCGTTTTTGGTATGTCCATTTTCGTGGTGCTCAGTCACTGAGAATATTGCGTTACTGACGATACGTGGAATGGGGTCAAATGTTGTCGTTGTCGCGGACGGCAACAGGCCAGTTCATGTGTCTTGCGTATAGCTCTCATGCTGTGCTTGGCGCTGCGTCGAACTTATTCGTGTTGCCATTCTCTCAAGTTGCCAGTCTACTTTATGAGGGAATCTGACGCCTTGTAAGAAATAGAAATGATAGTCACTCAACCTGGACGAATCTACTGAAGTGCATGAAACTGGCAAGCACGTCAATTCTCAACCAACGGAATGAATGAGTTTAACTTGTGAAGAGTCTATATATAACTGATGCACGTACATTATCTGATTTAGTGTGTTGAAAGTGGCAATGGATACGGCGATCGTGTGAACAGACGCAGGTGGATTTGACGCTGGTTTTTCCACATTCACATTATTGTTTGTATTCCTACAGTATCATATCCAGACCAAGAGTTTGGAGCCAAAGTGCATTGTGTAGCCTCTACTTCAGGATACGCGGAATGGTCTGTGGTACTACGACCTACATTTATTTTTTCCGTGTTTCGGGAGGACCTGGTCTTGGTTGAGTTCGGTGGCTTGGAAGGAATTGGTTAGGATACTTCGTACTTAAAAACGAAACAGGATTTTACTGTTCTGAGTTGGTTTTTTCCTCTAGATTCGCTCATCGTTAACTTTATTTTGATTATCTTATTCCCAGGAAAAAAGTAAGGATTTTAACTGATGTTTTAAATTAGAATGTGGATAACTTTGCATTCCTCTCAATGGATTTTTAGATTACCGTTGATCATCGATGAGGAAAATACCACTTACTAGCTGCGATATATATATCGTACACGACGTTACGCAGGGAATACACCAGTCAGCTTGAGAAAATCAAGGATCCGAATAAACGGATTCACTCAAAACAGCTAGAGAAACGATTTCATTCAATAAACGAGCATATAGAGCTACGTACATATTTCATTCAAGTTCTCTGCAATCGTAATGAAATATGTACGTAGAGCACAAACGAAGATACATGTAACGTAGTTATCAATCAATTGCACGTGCTGTGTACAACTGAGCTCTGTCGCAACTGATTCTCATCAACTAACTTCAAGTGAAAATAATGCGAAACTGAGAATTCTCACACGGCTTACTCAGCTCGTTGGTTTGACATCACCAAACTTATAACAGCTTCGCAATACGCGCCGGGGTGATTTGCAGAACCAACCGTGTCCACGTAGTCCGGCTTTGCAAGCCACATATTTCTTTGCACTGCAAGGGCAGCTGACACGCAGAACCCTCTTGATCCACGCAAAACGGAAGTACCATGGACAGGTCCACATCTGCTCGCATTGTTTCCTTAGAAGTGCAGACTGATGGAGATTTACAGCAACACTGCCAATGAATTTATTTGGCGCCCCATTAAACTTCAAATGACCGACGTACATCCCATGTGGAACGTCATGTTTGAGGAGCAATCAAAGAGTTCAGACCTGATCCCATTGCAAGTTACAGGTTTGCAAAGCTTCGAACCGAGTGATCCTAAGTCGACGGGAATTGGGATTTAACCAAGACCAATATGAAGATCATTCTCCCGGTAAGAGAATTGTGTAAATTTGAGACTTTGGTAATTGGTGGAGAATGTGCTCACGTCGCAAGTATACACCACAACGCTCAAAGTGGCGACTGCAGGGACCGATCTCTCACTCCAGACATGTAATGCATCGATTTAGTCTGCGCGGCCACTGTAACCGTTGCCAGAATCAGTCGTGTGAGCACAATTCTCCGATTCGACGAACACTTTACGGCGATTTGTGAGAAGCTCCGCAACAAAAGATGGCCGTCGGCGAGAGAACCTCTTGCGAAATGGCTCCAGAATCTCCATAACAACTGTGTTTGATGCAACAATCCCCTCGTCTCCAATTGCAATGAGATGAATTTGCTATATGATCAACACTATTCTGATGCCTCGGGCACGCCTAAATCCATTTCAGTCGTGGAGCCCGTGCTTTCGAGATTTGTCGGTGGCGTTCGCTGCACCGACACAGATTTCCACAAGGCTCGAAAGGACGGAGAACTGCGTATATGGTATATGTATACTTACATATCCTTTGTAGGTATGCACGTAATATGATTCTGTACATACATATGATTCTAAACCCAGGATTTTTACTAAATTTACCCACACATAATGAAGGGAAAAAAAAAAAAAAAAAAAAAAAAAAACTTCTAGATTCATTTCTCCACTATTAGATCATAAACCAATAAAAATCAACCACATTCGTTGTGATTACCATATTCTTCATCATAGGTAGGTCAATTTAGCAAATACCTGGATCTATTTAATATTCCCTGATATATATATATATATATATATATATATGTATATTTTTGCATTTGAATGCTCAAAATATTACATAAATTTATATTATAAATTTTTAATAAAACATTTCTAAAATTTGATAATTTTACTTTATTAATACTATTTTTTATTTAATTTAATTAAATAATCATACATGAAATAATTTATTATTATATTTATGGTCTCATTTAGAAACATATTTTAAAAGTGTATTTTTTTTTGATGGATAATTTAAAGTAATATTTTTATATTTAATTAAAATTATTTAAATAATAAATGGTGTAATAAATAACTTCTTCTATTTTTTTCTTTTGTTTTTGTTTCTAAAATCCAAGCAATAATAATCTAGCACAAATCTACAAATAAAATATTCATGCATCATCAATAGTACAAATTCAATTCATATTTTATTCTAAATGTTTGCACAACTTAAAATTTTGGTTAATATGCTTGAGACAAAAGTCATAATTTTTATTCATCTTTAAATTATTTTTTTGTGATATTCTTGCACCACCAATCTAATAGTTAATAAGAACATCTTTATTTATCTTATTCCACATATGAAGTTCAAATATTACTTTTTATCACTTATTATCATCTTTATTCATTCTTTAGATAATTCTATAATTAATTTGATATATATACATATACTTTTGAAATTTTTCTTATAATTCTTGATGAGATTCTATAATGTGAGACATACATATTTATTTCTACAATTATCTAGATAATATGAATAGATACAAATAGGTAAAAATAGATTAATTTGATACTAACTTATAAAAAAGCTTTTTAGAAGCTTCATAGATGCAATTACATATATATATATATATATATATATATATATATAGGTGATTGGTAGGTTGAATAGTTGGCCATTAAGTTAGCTACATATCACATGTGTTGGTAGCTTGTGGTATAAGCTAACTATGTGGTGCATATATAAAACAAAACTTGTCTTGCAAGTCAAGATATATGTCTCCCAAATTGGACACGTGTTAGAAGTCCTATAAAACATTGTCATATAGCTCTTAATTATATAGTATATATGGAGATAAGAATAAAATATTCTTCACTCTTGTCAACTCCTTTCTTGCTTCTAATCTACTTTCAAGAGTTTCTAAATTTTTAGTCTTTGACAATAGCCATTCCAATTTCTTTTTGAATATACATACTTTATATTATCATTTTATCATTTTCCCTTGATACTTATATCAATTGTTTACATATCTTCTTCAAGTTTTTGTCCTTGATATATTGTATTAAATAAATCTTCCAAATTTATATTTATTCAATTAAATAAATTAGAATACAATAAAATAATTAATATTATTCTAAAATATCAATAAGCCACCAAAGTTTTGAGTATTAAATTATAATTTGACATTCTATTCTACTAAAAAAATATACTTTAACTAAAATTAAATTATATACTTAAAAATATAACAAGTTTTAAAACTAAATATTTTTTATATTTTAATTTTAATTATATTTTTTTATAAAACTTTCAATACATTATAAAATTATTTTTAGTTCTCTTATTATTGATTTATTAATTTATTCAATAAAATTAAACCATTTTATCTATTTCACTCTCATATAATCTATTTAAATTTTAAACTTCATAAGTTTAAATAAATTTTATAGTTGTACATTATTTTTAAAATATATTATTAAAATATTTATGTGATTAATTTTTATTATTAATAGTATTAAAAATTAGAATTTTACTAAATTTTTGTTTAGATATAAAAAGAAATAAATTTAAATATATTTATAAAATTATATATAATATTCTAATCACAATAAAAATAAATTCAATATATTTTAAGTTTATTATTTTTAGTATTATAAAATTTAAAAAAATTAATTTATAATTTATTTACTATATTTTTTAAAAAATATTATAAAATATTATCAGATATTTATGTAGTAT